CATTTTAATTATGATGTGTCTGGTGTGTCTCTTAAGATTCCTTTGTTTGGGGTCTCTGCGCTTCCTGAACTGTAAGTCTATTTCTTTTACCATGTAGGGGAAGTTTTCTGTCATTATTTCTTCAAATAGGTTTTCAATATCTTGCTCTCTCTCTTCTTCTGGCACCCCTATAATTCGAATGTTGGTACGCTTGAAGCTGTCCCAGAGGCTCCTTACACTATCTTCATATTTTTGGATTCTTTTTTCATTTTGCTTTTCCGGTTGGGTGTTTTTTGCTTCTTCGTATTTCAAATCTTTGGCTTGATTCTTGCGATCCTCTAGTCTGCTGTTAGAACTCTGCACAATATCCTTTATTTCAGTCAATGTATGCTTAATTTCTAGTTGGTCCTTTTTCATACCCTCGATGGTCTCACTAGATTTCTTGAGGATCTCGCTACATTTATCGGCGGTCTCAACTGTCTTGTTGAGGGTTTTACTAAATTTGTCGGCGGTTTCCAGAAAATTCTTGAAAAACCTTATAACCGTGGTTTTGAACTCTATATCCAGACATTTGCTTTCCTCCATTTCTGTCATTTGTGACCTGTTTCTTTGTCTCCGCATTTTGGCTGCTTCCCTGTGTTGATAGAGTGGCTTTCTGTGCTAGATGACCTATAGGCCCCAGTGGCTCAGCTTCCCCAATTACCTGAGGTGGACACTCTTGGTGCACCCCCTTGTGGGCTTTGTGCACAGTCTTGTTGTAATTAAGCCTTGATTGTTGTAGGTATCACTGGGAGGAATTGACCTCCAGGCCAATTGGCATGAGAATCAGCTGTGTCTGTAGTGGGAGAACTTCTGTGTTGAAGACACCCCTCTGGGGCAAGACTTTCTTCAGTGGGGCTTTGGTGCTCACTGAGTCTGCCCCCTGAGTATGTCCCTTATGGATCTGAGAAGTTGTAATTGGATGGTCCCACTCTGACCACTGGGTACACTGGCTCTTGGATCTAAGGAGGTGCTAATTTAGCCTCTGCCTGAGGCTACCCAGCAGGAGCTACAAAGAGATCTGCAGATTCCCCTTCCTTTTTTGGGGTTTGGAGGTGCCCAGATGAGGCCCAGCTGTGAAGCAATGCTGCTGTGGGGCCTTGGGCCTTCTCTTGGAAGTTCTGGGTTTGTCTGGCCCAGCTGCAATTTGTTAGGTAATTTTCAGATTGCAAAGGGCCACAGGGCATTCATATGCAAAATCCTCTGCCGCAGCCTGGGTGGGGTGCGGTCTCAGGGAATCAACAGGGCGGAGCAAGCAGCTATGGCTGATCCTCAGCCCTGTCCTAAGGGGCTCTGTGTCTCAGTGTCCCGGTAATTGCTGCAAGCACCTCTGAGGGAAAGCTGCCCTCAAGTTCCGAGTTCTGCCCACTGCCAGACAGTCCAGTTTCTCCCTGTATGAGGCCTGGGTCCCCAGAGACTTCCCGGAACTGGAGTTCAGAGCAGTTGGGAGCTTGTGACTCCCTCCCGATTCAAAAAGAAAGCCAGGTCCTCAGGTACCAGCTTCTTTCCGCGCGCTCGAGTGTCCGTACCTCTGCACTTTACTTCCGCAGCTCCTCTGAGTCTCATTGTGCTTTTCTCTTTCCTTCTAGTTGTAGAATTTCCACTCAGCCAGCCTTCCTGTAGTTCTGGATGATGTCCGTTTTGTCTTTTCGTTGTATTTTTGAAGTTGTTGTGGGAGGCAGCAATTTCCGGTGTTTACCTATGCCGCCATCTTGGTTTCTCCCCACTCCCCCTATGGTATTTTTATTAATCTCCACCAGAGCATATGCTTAACACTTGGGTTGCGGGTGAATTTCCCGCCAAAATATAAGATGGCGCGTTAAAATGCCTATATCTTTTGAAGTATGGGTTCGATTGAAATGAAATATTTGGTAATACGCAGTTACAATCGGCCCGAGTTTACACGTTTCCAGCAATTTCCGGTGTTTACCTATGCCGCCATCTTGGTTTCTCCCCACTCCCCCTATGGTATTTTTATTAATCTGCACCACTCGTTTCCCGCAACCCAATTAAGAAGAGGGAGAGAGGGAGAGAGGGAGGGAGGGAGGGAGGGAGGGAGGAAGAGAGAGACAGAGAGAGAGAGAGAGAGAGAGAGAGAGAGAGAGAGAACAAACATTGATGTGAGGAAACATCCATCGGTTGCCTTCTGTATGTGCCCACCCCAGGATTGAACTTGCGACCCAGGCATGTGCCCTGACTGGGAATTGAACCAGCAACCTTTTTGGTCACAGGACCCCACTCCATTAATTCTGGCTGAGCTATGGTATTTTTGACTTTAACATCCCACTCCCCTTAGCCAAAAGCAACCTCTAATCTATTTCTGTCTCTATAGATTTGCCTGTGCTGAACACTTCATATAAATAGAATCACATATGTGGGCTTTTGTGGTTGGCTTTTAAAATTTAGTATAATGTTTTCAAGGTTCATCCATATGGTAGCATATATCAGCACTTTTTATTTTATTATGGCTCAATAATATTCCATTGCATGGACATTGTAATTATGTTTATTCATTCATCAGTTGATGGACATTTGGGTTGTTTCTACCTTCTGGCTATTGTGAATAACTGTGTGTATGTGACTACCTGATTCATTTTTTTGGTGTTTCTTTTGGTTTTACTTCTACGCAGGGGTGGAATTGTTAAACCCTATAATTAACCCCTGTTCACATTATTAATGAACTGCTAAACTTTATTCTACAGTAGTGACACCATTTTACATTCCCATCAGTAATGTATGAAGGTTCCAATTTCTCCACATCCTCACTAACATTTGGTTGACATTTTTCTATCTTTTGTATTATGGCCATTGAGGTGGATATGAAGTGGTATCTCATTGTGGTTTTTATTTGCATTTCTCTAATGACTAATGATGTTGAGCAACTTTTGATATTTTTGTTGCATCTTTGTATCTTTTTAAAAAATTGATTTCAGAGAGGAAGGGAGAGGGAGAGATAGAAACATCAATGATGAGAGAGAATCATTGATCAGTTGCCTCCTGCTTGCCCCCTACTGGGGATTGAACCTACAACCTGGACATGTGCCCTTGACTGAAATAGAACCCAGGACCCTTCAGTCTGCAGACCAACACTCTATCCACTGAGCCAAACCAGCTAGGGCGGTATCTTCTTTAGATAATTTTTTATTCAAATCCTTTGCCCATTTACATTTGAGATGTTTTTCTTGTTGAGTTGTAAGAATTCTTTATATATTCTAGGTAAAAATTCCTTATCAGATATATGAATTGAGAATTTTTCTCCCATTCTATAGGGGTCTTTTCTTTTTCTTGATAGAGTTCTTTGAAGCATAAAATTTTTATTTTGATTACCTACAATTTAGGTCTTTTATCTTTTATTGTCTGCTTTTGATGTCATGTCTAAGATCCATTGCCAAATATGTCATAAATAGTTACCCCTTAATTTTCTTCTAAGAGTATAAAGTTTTAACTTTTATGTTTAGTTTTTTGATCCATTTTTATTTTGTTTTAATATATGGTACTAGAGGCCCGGTGCATGAAATTTGTGCATGGGGTGTGTGTGTGTCCCTCAGCCCAGCCTGCAACCTCTCCAATCTGGGTCCCCTCAAGGGATGTGCGACTGCCTGTTTAGGCCCGATCCCACTGCACATCCCTCCCACAATCCAGGACTGCTGGCTCCCAACTGCTCGCCTGCCTGCCTGCCTGATTGCCCCTGACCGCTTCTGCTTGCCAGCCTGATCACCCCCTAACTACTCCCCTGCCAGCCTGATCGACGCCTAACTGCTCTCCCCTGCCAGCCCGATTGCCCATAACTGTCCTCCCCTGCAAGCCTGGTTGCCCCCAACTGCCCTCCCATGCAGGCCTGGTTGCCCCCAACTGCCCTCCCATGCTGGCCCGGTCACCCCTAACTGCCCTCCCTTGCCAGCCTCCTTGCCCCTAACTGCCCTCCCCTGCTGGCTGGTTGCCCCCAACTGCCCTCCCCTGCTGGCCTGGTCACCCCTAACTGCCCTCCCCTGCTAGCCTGGTCGCCCCTAACTGCCCTCCCCTGCAGGTCTGGTTCCCCCCAACTGCCCTCCCCTGCAGGCCTGGTCCCCCCCAACTGCCCTCCCCTGTAGGGCTGGTCCCCCCCAACTGCCCTCCTCTGCAGGGCGGACGGCCCAACTGCCCTCCCTTTCAGGCCTGGTCCCTCCCAACTGCCCTCCCCTGCTGGCCTGATTGCCCACAACTGCCCTCCCCTGCCGGCCTGATTGCCCACAACTGCTCTCCCCTGCTGGCCATCTTGTGGCCACATGGGGGCGGCCATCTTGTGTGTTGGAGTGATGGTCAATTTGCATATTTCTTCTTTATTAGATAGGATAATGTATGAGTCCAACTTCATTTTTTTGCATATGCCTACCCAGTTGTCCCAGAACTATTTTAAAAACCTGTTTTTCTCAAATTAATAAACTTAGAACACTTCTCAAAATTCAGTTGGCCTTAACCTGAATAGACATTTCTCTAGGCTTTCACTATTAAGTATGGTGTTAGCTATGGATTTTTCATAGATTCCCTTTAATGCAGTGGTTCTCAACCTTCTGGCCCTTTAAATACAGTTCCTCATGTGTGACCCAACCATAAAATTATTTTCGTTGCTACTTCATAACTGTAATGTTGCTACTGTTATGAATCGTAATGTAAATATCTGATATGCAGGATGGTCTTAGGCGACCCCTGTGAAAGGGTCATTGGCCCCCCAAAGGGGTCGCAACCCACAGGTTGAGAACCGCTGCTTTAATGGGTGAGGAAATTCCCCTCTATTCTTAAGGTGTTGAGTGTTTCTATCACAAAAAAGGTGTTGCATTCTGTCAAATGCTTTTGTTGCATCTATTGAGATGATCATATGGTTTGTGTTTTTTATTCTGTTGGTATAGTTTTATTACAAAACCTCACATTTCTGGGCTAACCCCCAGAATTTATGGTATATAATTCCTTTTATGTACTTCTGAATTGAGTTTGGCTAGTATAGGGTGTCCCAAAATTCACACAAGATTTGCAATTCAATTCAATTGCAAATCTTGCGTGAATTTTGGGACACCCTATATTTTGTTAAGGATTAGTGCATCCATGTTCATAAGATATATTGGTCTGTAGCTTTCTTTCCCTGTGATATCTTTGTCTGGTTTTAGTATCCGGGTAATACTGGCCTTGTGCAATAAGTTTGGAAGTGTTCCCTCCTTTTCTAGTTTGTGAAAAGTTGGTGTTCTTTAAATATTTGGTAGTATTCATCACTTAAGTCATCTGGACCTGAGCTTTTCTTTGTTGGTAGTTTCTTTAAAAAAATATTTTTATTGATTTCAGAGAGGAAGGGACAGGGAGAGCGATATAGAAACATCAATGATGAGAGAGAATCATTGATCGGCTGCCTCCTGTACATCCCCCACTAGGGATTGAGCCTGCAACCTGGGCATGTGCCTTGACCAGGGATTGAACCATGACCTCTGGGTTCAACCACTGAGTCATGCTGTCTGGGCATGTGGGTAGTCTCTTGATTAATAATTTGATCTCTTTCTTGTTATAGGTTTATTCAGATTATTTATTTTTGAGTCAGTTTCTATAGTTGTGTCTTTCTAGAAAATTGCCCATTTCATCTAAGTTATCTAGTTTATTGGCATACAGTTGTTCATACTACTACTTTAAAGTTTTTTATTTTTTAATGTCAGTAGTAATCTCCCATTTTCCATTTCCGATGCTAGTAGTTTGAATCTTCTTTTGTCTTGGTTAATTTATTTAAATGTCTTAAAATTATTGTCTTTTGATTTCATTGATCTTCTCTGTTGTTTTTATTCATCATTTTATTAATTTCTTCCCTCATATGTATTATATGTTTCCTCCTTCTTTTGGTTTTGTTTGCTCTTTCTTCCCATTGTGTTAAGGAGGAAAGTTTGGTTATTGATTTGAGATCTTTGTTCTTTTTAATGTAGACATTTATAGTCATAAATTTCTCTCTGAGTGCTGCTTTTGCTACACCCATAAATTTTGGTGTGCTTTCTCTTCATTTTTATTTAAAGTATTTCCTAATTGCCCTTCTGATTTCTTGTAGGACACATGGGTTATTTAGGAGAGTATTTTTTAATTTCCACATAGTAGTGAATTTCCCATTTTTCTTTATTATTGATTTCTAATTTCATCCCATTATGGTTGAAAGACATAATCTATATTATTTCTATCGTGTCTATGAATTCTTTTACAATATATATTTTGGTAAATATGAATATTATTATACAATGCACAGTTCTTTTTTTAATTGTTTAAAGTATTGCATATGTCTCCTTTTTCCCCTGATTGACCCTGCCCCTGCCACTCCCACCCTCGAGGGCAAGCCCACACCGCCCCAGTGTCTGTGTCCATTGGTTATGCTAATATGCATGCATACAAGTCCTTTAGTTGGTCTCTAACCCCCCACCCCTCCTCTGCCATTTGTCTCTGGAACTATTTTTATTCATCAGTTTATGTTGATCATTATATCCCACATATGAGTGAGATCATGTGATATTTATCTTTCTCTGACTGGCTTATTTAGCTTAGCATAATGCTCTCCAGTTCCATCCATGCTTTGCAAATGGTAAAAGTTCCTTCTTTTTTATAGCGGTGTAGTATTCCATTGTGTAGATGTACCACAGTTTTTTAAGCCACTCATCTGCTGATGGGCACTTAAGCTGTTTCCAAATTTTAGCTATTGTAAATTGTGCTGCTATGAATATAGGGGTGCATATATCCTTTCTGATTGGTTTTTCTGTTTCCTTGGGACATATTCCTAGAAGTGGGGTTACTGGGTCAAATGGGAGTTCCATTTTTAATTTTTTGAGGAAACTCCATACTATTTTCCACAGCGGCTACACCAGTCTGCATTCCCACCCCAGTGCACGAGGGTTCCTTTTTCTCCAACAATACACAGTTCTTATACAATTCTCAGAATTATTCTAAAAGACAAGAAACAAGACTCACCTATAATTAAACTCTCACATGCAATCATTGTTTACATTTTAGTGTCTAGTGCTCTACTGTGTTCATGCATGTGCATCTGACTACTATTTCTTGAACAGTGCAATTACTTAAAGTATCAGACTCTGCTCTGGTTTATTCAAAGAAAGTCCAGTTAATAGATAAAGGCAAAGCTGTTCAAGGATGTAATCCTGTTTTTTTATTCATCCAAAGATGGGGAAGGGGCCATGATCTCACTGCTATAGTGATGGCCCATATGTGTGGACTTGCCCTTGCGCAGCCACGGGCTTGGAAGTCTGAGCAAAGGGCATAGAGGGACTGGCTCCTGGTTGAGAAGCCTGGTGTCTTTTACTCTCCTCATTGGTAGAGAAAATTATAATTGCTCCCGGTACATTTCGTATTTTCATTGTGCTTTCTTTTTTCTTGCAGCACTCTTCCCATTCCTTGGCCCAGTTTTTGAAGCATTTAATATTACTCTGTTTCCAAGAAGTGTGACTGATTTTTTCAAAAAATCTGTAAAAAGAATGAAAGAAAATCGCCTCCAAGATAAACAAAAGGTAAAATCTGGTGGTGGTTACATGAGTGTGTTCACGCTTTGATAATTTATTGAGCTGGATACATATGATTTGTGCACTTCTTCTTTTTTCAGATAGATAAAGGACTGTAGGTTTACAGGAGGAAAGTTCTAACATTTTATGGGGAATGAAGAAGGTGGAGGTTAGGAAAGGAAATAAAAGATGAGTCAGAGAGACATTGTCTAAAATGTAATATAATAATAGGCACAATGGTCAGTATATCACTGCATGAATATTATTGATATGAAAAGTTTTCCACTTCCTTTTAATAAATTTTCAAAGTATAAAAAAATACTGTTTAAAAATTATTTTCCTGGTATTATACTTCCCCAGGTTTTAAATTGGCACTCATCAATTCCAAGCCTCTTATTTTACACATTCTGCAGTGGAAGTTCCCATCAGGCCCCTGGGGGATTGCTCTATGTTAAACTGAAGCCTGCTCAGAGATTGGAGAGGGCAGTAGTCTTCTCTGGGCATTGAGGTTGCAAGATGGCTAACCCAGCTTTGCCTTCATGGGCCTGGAGGCCAGCACAAGAATGTCTGCAGGCCATGGGGATAGGGCTGGGTACCCCAGAATTGCACTGAATGTTGTGGAGAGTTCTGGGATGGTGGAGTATTTGAAGCTGCTCCCAGAAAAGCATCTGATGAACTGAAAATGTCAGGGGATTCAGTTATGTGGCCTTTCATTAAGGATTAAGACTGGAGAAAAAAGTATTGAAGTCAGGGACTTTTTTCTGAGCAACCAGGTATGACAAGAGGGAAGCAGGCAACTCTTTGGCCAGGAAACTGTTCAAAAGTGAGAGAAGCCAAAGAGCAGAGAAAATGAGGACCAAAAAGCCATTGGACATGATGGCTGAATTTCTCTCAGGGAAACATTCTGTTCTCCAAGATTTGTAGCTGGATGACTTCACTGATAACAGTATAGTGAATGTAGCCAATAATCTCTCTATATAAAAGTCTAAGTGACCGACCGATCGAACGACTGGTCGCTATGACACACACTGACCACCAGGAGGCAGACGCTAAACGCAGGAGCTGTCCTCCTGGTGGTCAGTGTGCTTCCACAGCGGGAGTGCCGCTCAGCTGACCAAACCGTCCGGGCCTCCCACCAGCCCAGTGGCAGCCACTCCCTCCCTCAGTAGTCCTGCAGGTCCAATCTCCAGAGAATGGGCCAGGCACCGACGGACCTGCTGGCACTGATAGCACTGCTGGCATGATCAGAAGTTGGCCTCGGGCACTGTGGCCACTTTCCCTTCCTAGATGTTTTGCAAGGAAGAAACAATATAAAAGTGGCTGCCAGGTGGCTCCCAACAACTGGCACGAATGTCAGCAGGATGGATCCAGATCCTGGGCTGGAAAGGGCATTCCACCGCCTGCCCGGAGGGCCTATTGTGTCCCGGCCCCCTCCACCCCACTCAGGATGGGCGCCAGATGCAGGGCTCATGGCTGGCGAGTGCCGCTGCGGCAGTGCGAGCCTCTCCCAACTGGGACTGACTGGGTGCAAGCCCGTGGCAGGCGCAGCGGGGCTGGGATGAGCAGGCACGGCAGGTGGCGTTGACTGTGGGTTTCAGCCTGATCCCCGCAGGCCACCTCGAGGGACCCCACCCATGCACGAATTCGTGCACTGGGCCTCTAGTATAGTAATAATTCTCTATGGTGACAGATGGGTACTGGAAATATTGGGGGGAACACCTTGCAAAGTATATGATTATCTAACCACTATGCTATATGCTTGAAATTAATACAAAATAATATTGAATGTAAACTGTAATAGAAAAATAAAATTAAAAAAAGAAATGAAGTGGCCATATTAACAGGAAAGAAAGTTAGTACTGCACTCCTGATTTATTTCTGGTTTCACAAGTTGACTCTTTGTCATTGAAATTTCTCCTTCTGCTTCCAGCACCGAGTGGATTTTCTTCAGCTGATGATTAACTCTCAGAATTCCAAAGAAACAGACTCCCATAAAGGTAAACAAGGTCTACTTCAGAGGGCCAGTGATGGGGAGGCTCAGAGGTAGTGGTGGTTCTGAAAATGTATATGAAGATTTTCATGCAGACGTGAATTTCTATCAAATTGAAAAAGACACATGCTCAGAATAAAGGTAGCCAGAGGCACTTTCTACACACATGTGGGCACAGCTTTATTCAAAGCTTGAAGGGCACCATAAATAAGAATTTTATGCCCTGAGGTCAGTCAGTGGTCTGTGGATCACCTACATCAGAATCTCTGGGAGCTTGTTTCCAATGTCTATTCTCTGGCCTCATCCAGCTACATGGAAATTTGCATTAAGAATGCATCACTTTAGGAAGCACATTGCCCCAGTATTGGTGACCTTCACTTGGAACCCTTGGTTAAATTGTGTTCACTAGCTTAATCTAGTATAAAGTTTTGTTTTTTATTTACTTGTTTGATGGTCAAATTCTCTCAGGTTTGTCCAGTGGAGCCCTTTCAGAAGGCTCTGGGGTCCTATTTTCTTTATTTTTATTTTTTCAATATACTTTACTTTTTAGAGCAGTTTTATGTTTACAGCAAAATTGTGTGAAAGGAACAGATATTTCCCATAACCTTCTCCCCTCACCTATATTCAGCCTCCCTGACTATCTGAATCCCTAACAGCAGTGTACCATTTGTTACAGTCAGTGAATCTACATTGGCACGATTATCACCAAAGTGCATAGTTTAAATTAGGATTCACACTTGGTGTTGTACGTTCTATGGGTTTTAATCGATATATACTGTATATATAAAACCCTAAGATACAAATAGACCGAACGGTGGAACAACCAAACAACTGGTTGCTATGACGTGTGCTGACTACCAGGGGGGGTGCACAGAACATGGTGGGCGTCGGCAGCAGGCGGCAGAGTGGGGAACGTGGCAGGCATTGGCTGTGGTGGGATGGTTGAGCAGGTGAGCGGGGGCACCAGACCAAGGCGGGGCGCTGGTCGCTGTCATCAGGGCAAGCCTCTGGTGGTTAGTGAAAATTCTTTGCTCCCATGTGCCGTGGTCCTGCTGGGTGCTTGCACCTGCTGCCAGTGCTGGCCCCACTTGCACCCACTGATGGCATGGAGCAATTGGGGCCAGCGCCAGCTGCAGGTGTGAGTGAGGCCAGCACTGTCAGCGGGTGCCAGGGGTGGCTGCGAGGGGCGGCTGCTGGCCCTGATTGCCCCTCAGGGCTTCTCCACCTTCCCCTGCTCCTGAGGGGCGCTCGGGGCGGCAGCTGCCTCTCACACCCCACTGACGAATTCATGCATGGGTGGGGTCCCTCGGGGTGGCCTGAAGGGATTGGGCTGATACCTGCAGTCCAATGCCACCTGCCGCTCCCGCTCATCCCGCTCCTGCTCATCCCGGCCCCGCTGCGCCTGCTGCGGGCTTGCGCCCAGTCAGTTCCAATCAGGAGAGGCTCGTGCCACTGCAGTGGTGCTCACCAGCTGTGAGCCCTGTGTCTGGCACCCGTCCCAAGGGGGGTGGGGGGGTAGGACGTGATTGGCCCTCTAGGTGGGTGGTGGGCCACCCATGGCCTGGGATCTGGATCCGTCCCATTGACATGCCCAAGGCCGACTTCCAGGAGGCCGGCAGCGCAGCTGGGATCATGCTGGCAGCACTGGTCCGTCAGTGCCTGGCCCGTTCTCCGAAGATTGGACCTGCAGGACTACTGAGGGAGTGAGTGGCTGCTGCTGGGCTGGTGGGCCACTGGGACGGTGCGCTCCCACTGTGGGAGTGCACTGACCACCAGGGGGCAGCTCCTGCATTGAGCGTTTGCCCCCTGGTGGTCAGTGAGCATCATAGCGATCGGTCGTTTGGTAATTCAGTCACTTAGGCTTTTATATATATATATATATATAGATATAGATATGTCCACCATTAGAGTATAGAGAGTGTCCTGTATCTTTTTCACCTATCATTTTCTGAGTACTTCCTTGCTTTCTGATGCAAGGCGTTCCAAATTTCTCTCTATTTCCCCTGATCAGCCCTGGAGCCAGCCATTTCACCAAGGAATTCTGGTTTATCTTAGTGAGAAATGGTACTTAGAAACCAAAATCAGATCTAGGAGTGCTCATTTCTCCTAGGGTTTCCTTACTTCTAGATTGTCTCAGTGGATAAAGCTAAGAACATCAAATATATTTACAGAGGTCTCATAAACATAAATATTTCTATATTCACCCATAATTAGTGATGTAAACATATTTTCTCTCAAAAAAGAAAAATCCAAGTATTATCCTTTATTCCTATGATATAAATACTTCCATCATAGTTAATTTCAAACTACTAATGGCTTGACAACCATCTCACAAAATTTCTGAATATTTAATAATTGGTTCTAAAGAACAGGGATGAGATGACTCCAGCACAGCACTATAAATATATCCATATCTATGTATACATGTCTTTCTTTCTCCCTATCTATCTAGTCTAATACAACCTTCTGTGATGAAAGAGAACATATTCTATATCAATAGAGTTACCACTAGGCACATGTGGCTATTACACATTTGACATGTAAGCAGTGCAACTGAAAACTGAATCTTATATTTAATTTTAATTAATTAAAATGTAAATAAGCACATGTAGCTAATGGCTACCTGTTGGGCAGCACAGCTCTAAATTTTGGATATCATGGGGTCGGTAGACCTTTCTTGTTTTCAGTTGTGAATTATAACTTTGTGGGAATTAGCATGTTTATTTCAGTGCTCTAAGTATCAAAAGGCCCTAATCCATTCCCACACAAATAGATTAGATCTTAACCATGCTTATTCTCTCAGCAGAAAATAAAAAAGGAGGCCACTATTAGTTTGAATAGACTCTTCCTTCCCTTCTCCCTTTCTTCCTCTTCTGGAATGCCCATTATTCTAACATTGCTTTTTCTGCTGGCATAATTCTTTCCTCCATCTCCTTGGCTCTGTTTTCTATGCATGCTTCATTTCCAGGATTTCTTATTGGTTCTTTTTAAAACTTTCAATCTCTTTGGTAACGTACTCATTTTGTTCATTCATTTGTTTTCTGAGTGCATTGAATTGCCTGTCTGCATTTTCTTGCATTTTGTTGAGTATTTTCAGAACTGCAATCATGAAATCTCTATCATTTACATCACATATTTCCATGTGTTCCAACTTGCTTTTTGGGGATTTTTCATTTTCTTTCAATCATCCTCGTTTCCATAGTTATTCGTGGTATTTGCTGTTCTCCTTTGCCTACACATTTATATCTGTTGATATTAATGGCTTATAACAACTTCCTCTGAAGAGGTCTTTCTACTATTTTCCAGAAGATAGCACTGAATCACACGATTTTTTACCTCTGTGATCCAGATTTGACCTCCAGGGCTTTTATAAAACAGTACAGCCTTGCTGCTTGGAGGTGGGGTTTGTTTTCCCTCACTGTAATGGTGACCCCTGACCTCCATGGGGTTCCCTCCAAGCGTCCAACCTGGGGATCAGTCACAGAGGGAAACGGTGGTTCTATAGCAATAACTCTTGGTTTACAGATAATATGCTCCTTGGCTATACTCCACAGGCAACAGGATGCGAGTTTTGGGAGTCTGAGCATTGGCAGGACTCTGTGCTTCCATTTCTTTCTCTGAAACACCACCATCTGGCCCAGCAGTGGAGAGCCACAGCTCTCCATTCCTCCTGGCTGAAGGAAGCTCCTGCTACTGCCATCTTCGATATTCTGCATTTCTAATAAACTCCCAGATACTGCTGATGCTGCTGGTCCATAGACAATACCTTGAGTAGAAGAGTTTATCTGTGGCCAATTACTGTTCTTTTAAGTTCCTGGAAACATGTTTAGAAGAAAGATCCTTTAATTTTTCTTTACATAAACTTCAGTATTGTAAACCGTCTCAAAATTTTTAAGAATAATTTAAAATTTTCCTGGGGGAGAATGCTATCCCATATTACTTGTAGTTAAACTACTTTTAAGATTCTCCAATAACATCCTGTGAAATTACACAGCTGAGATAGTGATGAGAGTGATGTATTCAGGGGCAGGTGACCAAGAATAGTGTAGACCCCTGGTCGGCAAACTGCGGCTCGCGAGCCACATGCGGCTCTTTGGCCCCTTGAGTGTGGCTCTTCCACAAAATACCACGTGCGGGTGCGAGTACAGTGTGATTGAAACTTTGTGGCCCATGCGCAGAAGTCGGTTTTCGGCCTGGGTGAGTCTGTTTTGAAGAAGTACTGTTGATATTTGGCTCTGTTGACTAATGAGTTTGCCAACCACTGGTGTAGACCTTTGGAAAAACTGGATTAAGACTTTTTTTTGCCTTTTTCTGGATCTGCAGTATACACATCAGAGTACAACTCCCCCTAGTTTGATCTGAATTTCCATTTTTTTCTTCTAGCAGTTTGGCGTTTCATATGGATTTTTCATAATCCAAACTGATGATTTACATTGACCTTTCTTTTCCTTTTAGCTATGACCGATCTGGAGCTTGTTGCCCAATCTATTATTTTTATTTTTGCTGGCTATGAAACCACTAGCACTTCTCTTTCCTTCTTTATGTATCTTATGGCCATTCACCCTGATGTGCAGCAAAAACTGCAAGAGGAGATCGACGTAACATTTCCCAATAAGGTAAGTGGATGATACCTGCAGAGGGAGGGAGGAAGTGAAACCTTAATAAGAATGCCTCCTTACCATTTTGTAGGATAATTTTTGCAAAGAGCATAAGCATCAGTTCTTTATCTATGCTATTTAGGAAGGATGTAAAGTGATGAAAACAAAGAAATATAGGTAATGTGTACTTTTCACAGATTATAAGATCTTGGACAAAGTGCTTTTCCTGGCATAGCAGTTATCTGTTATCACAATAATGTCAAATGGAAAAAAAAAACCCTCAGTGGCAATTAACAATAAACATTGATTGCTCAAGTGTCTGGATAATTATCTGTGTTGATATGGACTGGACTTGCTTTAGTCTGGCTCTTGGCTGATCTAGGCTGGCCTTGGCTAAGAGGCTGGGTGAATCATCTCCACACAGGATCCACATATCTCCCATACTCCAGACAAGAAGCCTGGGTATGTTCTTTTCAGGCAATGGAAGAGGGAAAGACCAATAAGCCCAATCATATGGGTGCCTTTCAGAACTCTGCTTGCATCACACTTAGCCAACATTCCATTGATTTAAAGCATGCACCATGGCCAACCTCAGCATCAAAATAGGACGGCACAAAGTTAGATGACTAAGGGCACGGACACACACAGTGGCGGAGAACAGGCCCAAATAGTGTAATATACCACCCTGGGTAAACATTCCAGACTAGAAGAAGCCTGACATACAGGAAAGAGCGTAGGGTAGGGAATAGAAGATAGACATTTGAGTCCAGACTATGGTTTTGGACAGGTCATATGACCTTTCTGAGTCATAGGTCTTTCAGATATAAGGAAAATATTTTAGAACCTATGTAATTAGAGATTATCTTTCTTCTCATGGAAAACTCACATTGGTATTCTTTTGATAGCAATAAGATGGAAAGGTCACTAAGAGGCAGAGACTAGCTAAATCACTGTGTTCTGCTTTTTTTTTTTTAGTAATAATTACAACACTATAACTAAACATTTGCTCCTTACTATATATGTCTATTCTAAATACCTTGTATTTATAAATGAATTTAATCTTAACAAATTCTGTATTAACCAGGATAGGTTAGGTTATGCCTTGGTAACAGATTGGTCCTGAAATCTAAATGGCTTTACATAGCAAAAGTTTACTTCTCATATTTATATATAAAACATGGATTGTTAGAGGAGGGTAGGAATGGGAGTCTCTGCTCCACATAGTTACTCAAAAATATAAGCTAAAAGGCCCCACTTTCTCTTTTTCTTAAAAATATTTTTATTGATCTCAGGTGGAAGGGAGAGGGAGAGAGAGATAGAAACATCAATGATGAGAGAGAATCATTGATTGGCTGCCTCCTGCATGCCCCCTACTGGGAATCAAGCCTGCAACCTGGGCATGTGCCCTTGACCGGAATTGAACCCAGGATCTTTCAGTCCGCAGGCTGATGCTCTATCCACTGAGCCAAACCGGCTAGGGCAAGGCCCCACTTTCTTGTAGCTGCACTTTCTGGAACATAAAGCCTTCATCTTGGTTGGGGAATAAAGAAGTAGAGTGTTGCTCCCTGGATTTTCAAGTGTTTTGACTTCCAATTAACATACATCACCTCAGCTCACAGCCCATTCTCAAAGCTGGTTTCCCCTAGCTTTAAGTGGCCTGGGAGATTTGGAGACCACATGGATATTAGGTGAGCAGTGATATCTCTGCTAAACAACTCTATGAAGTGTCAACTCTAAATATCTCCATGTAACATATCAGAAAACAGAGAGGTGAAATAATTTTCATACACTAGTCATATAGCTAGTGGTGAAGAAGCCTTAACCTCTACAGTATTGCCTCTTCAATATAACACCAAGTGATACCCACATATTGCCCACACTGTTTTCAGATATCTGACAAAACTGGAACTCTTTGTGGTATGAAGAGACTGGCCTCTGGGGCTGGAGAGGCTTGTATGAGATCTTCACAGCTTACAGTCAAACCCTGAACAACTAGGAGACTGTTCCAGCAAGGCAGCATGAGGCTGAGTGGGGTTCCACCTCTTTATAACTTCTGCTAGAATGAAATTGTGTGGCTGGTAGCTAGCATCCCATCATACTCTTCATGTACCCAATTTGGTTTAGAAAGAAACCTGTTTCTCGTCAAGTTATTTATAACCTCTACATTATATAGTTTTTCTCTCCAAATCCTATATAAAATCTAAAGGGTTGGCCCTAGCTGGTTTGGCTCAGTGGATAGAGTGTCAGCCTGTAGACTGAAGGGTCCTGGGTTCAATTCCAGTCAAGGGTACATGCCCGGGTTGTGGGCTCGATCCGCAGTAGGGGTGTGCAGGAGGCAGCCAATCAATGATTCTCTCTCATCATTGATGTTTCTATCTCTCTCTCCCTCTCCCTTCCTTTTTGAAATCAATAAAAAATATATGTATATAAAAATATAGGATTTTTCAACTAAAAAACTTTATGTCAAGTTGGGATTTTGCTTTTTTAAACATTCTCTTTCCTTGCTGCAGAAGTGCGGCCTCTCTTTTGAAAACGAAGAGTGACCTTAGCATATTTCATTTAAGAGTAGGGGCCATAGTCTATTAGTCACATGAGATTAAAAAAAATCACTGTATGGTAAGGTGAGGGACTTCGGTCCTGTTTAGGGTATTGTCCCCAACGTCTCCCATAGTTATAACTACTCCACACATCTCAATGGGCCATTGAGCAGGCCAAAGGACATGATATTAAAATGTCTGTAAATCCTAAGGTCTTTTACTCAAATAAGTTATTCTTTGGAGCGCCTAACATTTCTATAAAATGACAAAGACTGAGTTGAAAGTTGATCTCAAATCTCAGTTTATCAAAATCTGTTTCTTTCTTCTCAGGCAACTCCCACCTATGATGCCCTGGCACAGATGGAGTATCTTGACATGGTGATGAATGAAAACCTCAGATTATACCCAATTGCTGGTAGACTTGAGCGGGTCTGTAAGAAGGATGTGGAAATCAATGGGGTGTTCATTCCCAAAGGGACAGTGGTGATGGTGCCAAGTTTTATTCTTCACCGAGACTCTACATACTGGCCAGAGCCTGAGGAGTTCCGTCCTGAAAGGTACTGGACCCCTGGGAAAGGGAACCCACCCTCATCCAAGCTGGTTGGACATGTTCTGATGTCTTTTAGTATAGATGATGAACGTGTGGTTGTACAATCATTTGTATGCATACCTATTTATTTTTAGAAGTTTGTTTTTCTTATTACAAGAGTGATTATTATTTTACAATCTCTAGATTAGATAAAAGAAAGTTGTATTTGTCTATAGTCCAAATACCTTAATATAGGTCTCATTAATAATGTGATGTATGTCATTATTGACATTTTCTATGCATATATAGACTTTTAAAAATTAGAATAATTATATTTTATACTACTTTATTTAACAGTAAACCATAAACTACATCCTATGTATAAAACACCACCTTATATAGGTATATATTTATCTGTCTGTGATTGTATACATATGCCATAATTTACTTAATCACTAATGATTTTAGAAATATAGGCTTTTTTTTCTTTACGTTTTTCTGTGTTGTTCTCTTTAATCTGTGAATTTACCACCAATGTTCCCACATTCTATTTTTTAAAAACATTGGCTGCTGTTCCTTTAGCATAATTGGGAGAGTGCAGGCTGACAACCTGAGAGGTCCTCACTCCTGATAGTTTAAGCAGTCCCTTAAGGATAGAGGTGAACACAGGTTCCCTGGTCTGTCTTTGGTTGCAGTCCTGGGCCAGATTCCTCCTACTCTCAGTATTTGGTGACTCTTCCAAAGGGAAGTCATCTGCTCTCTAGACATTCTAAGACCCTCCTCTTTAGGGGTGGTGAGCATGTTCTTCTGGGAATTCAGAGCCAAGTCTGGCTTTGGGCACAGCTTGGACTCTGGAAAGAGCTGATGCTTCCCATTTAGTGTATTGGTGAGCAAAATTGGAAAGAACTATTGAGGGCACTACCTTAGACTTTTATTAACACAACTATACGATCCCTAATGGCATGGACCTTGTCTCATTTGCCATGGTGTCCTTATTCTAGCATAGTGTCTACACACAGTACTTTTGAAGAAAGTTAGTTGGCCAAGTCCTCTGTTTTCTGGAACAGGGGGCCTCTGTGGTTTCTCCAAGCTCAGCAGTTTCCCTCCTTGTAGCTTCATGAACATGAAATCGGAGACCTTTTCTGTACTTCATTTTTAATTCTATTTATTGGGGTAACACTGATTAATATTATAATAATTTCAGTTGTACAACTTTATAATACAACCTCTGTAGACTTTATTATGTGATTACTATCAAAGTCTAGACTTCTCCAGTCACCTTGTATTTGATCTCCTGTACCCTCTTCATCTTCTTCATACCTTTCTTCCCCTCTGGTAACCACCATTCTGTTGTGTGTATCTATGATTTTATTTTTTGTTTATTTGTTGCTTTTTGTTTTATATCCCACGTATGACTGAAATCATGTGGTTCTTATCCTTTTCTGTTTAATTTATTTCACTTAACATAATACATTCAAGATCCATCCATGTTGTTACAATTGGCAATAATTCATCTTTTTATGGCTGAGCATTATTCCATTGTATATATGTACCATATCTTCTTTATCCAATGATCTGTTGTAGAACACTTGTTTTGTTTTCATGTCTTGACTATTATAAATAATATGTTAATGAATACAGGGGTATGTGTATCTTTATGAATAAGTGTGTTCAAATTACAAAAATTTCACGTATATATCCAGAAGAGAGATTGCTGGGTCTTATGGTAACTCTTTTTTTTAATTTTTGTGTGGAACCTCCATACAGTTTTCCATAGTGGCTACACCAGTTTATATTTGCACCAGCAGTGTATGAGAGCTTTCTCTTTCCACATCCTCTACAATATTTATTTCTTGTCCTAACAAGTGAGCTGGTATCTCATTGTAATTTTTATTTGCATTTCCCTTATAGTTAGTGGTGGTGAGCATTTTTTCACATATCTGTTGGTCATCTTGTACTTTGCTTCATTCAGTCATCAAAGAGTAAGTGCTGACCATGTGTCAGATAGTGGGCCAGGTAGTGAAAAATCCATGTTTTAAAAAATATACAAAAGTATATGTGTATTTAACATATATAGAAACATTTCCTATATACATGTCTATAAAATACTTACAATGCATCTCTATGTGTTCATCACCTGCCTTACAGCAATCAACCCATGTCCACTGCCCCATCCATATGCCATCGATACCCCCCTCCTAATTTCCACATTATCTTAAGGCACAGCATCTATAAATATTTTCAATGTTCCCCCAAATATAAGAACCCTTAAAAATATATAACCACAATGCCATGATCACTTTTCCAAAATACATATTTATCCTTAAAATAATAAAACATTGAGGAGTCAAATTTGAATAAAGCATAGATCTACCCTTCAGAGAATTTATAGCCTAGTGCAGTGGTTGGCAAACCGTGGCTTGTGAGCCACATGTGGCTCTTTGGCCCCTTGAGTGTGGCTCTTCCACAAAATACCACGTGCGGGCACTCATGTACAGTGCGAAGTTGACTTAAAACTTTAAGTAAAGTGCCCTGACTGGTTTGGCTCAGTGGATAGAGCATCGGCCTGCGGACTCAAGGTCCCAGGTTCGATTCCGGTCAAGGGCATGTACCTTGGTTGCAGGCACATACCCAGTGGGGAGCGTGCGGGAGGCAGCTGATCAATGTTTCTCTCTCATCGATGTTTCTAACCCTCTGTCCCTCTCCCTTCCTCTCTGTAAAAAAATCAATAAAATATATTTTAAAAAAACTTTAAGTAAAGTTTATTAAGTTAATCTTAGGGAACGTTGTGGAGTGAAAGAAGATGTAGTGTCGAGGATTGAGAAAGGTATGTTGAGATGGTTTGGACATATAGAGAGGATGAATGAAAGGAGATAGATGAAACAAGTATACAAGATGAGTGTGGATGGGAGAGTTAGAAGGGGTCGACCTCAGCGAACACACCTCAATCAGATTGAGGACGTTTTTAGCAAAGGCCAGCTTAGGAATACCCTAATTAAGTTAATAACAATGTACCTACCTATATCGTTTAAGTTTAAAAAATTTGGCTCTCAAAAGAAATTTCAAATGTTGTACTGTTGATATTTGGCTCTGTTGACTAATGAGTTTGCTGACCACTGGCCTAGTGAAACAGATACATAAGGAAACCAGTGATCATACGAGAGTAGAGGAGCATCATATGCCAATGTAAGTCATTTGATTTAAGCTATTCAATGAGAGAGAGAGAGAGGGACAGAAAGGGAGAGTTCAGAGGAGGGGAGGGGAAAGAAGGGAAGGGAAAGAAAATATAACTAATAGGAAGTATTATTCCTGCTTCCTTCCTCCATGAGCATGTGACAAGCATGAGTTTGATGGAGGGAGAAACCTCCTTTTCCTTCATTTCCTTCTTGCCTTTAGAGTGTGAACATTTCAACATCCTGAATGTAATTTAATGTTTAAAAATAAATTTTCTTTTAAACAGCATTCATCTTTTTTATTCAATGAAACTGAAAGCTCCTAAAGAGTAAGGGGAGTGGAAATGATCTCTAGCTTATATTTCTCACAGCAAAATAACCAGAGCAGGATCTCACTGACTAGCCCACTGGAGTATCCTATATACTAGAACCCCAAACATGTAGTTCTTGTGGTGTATATGTTTTATTAATTGTTTTAATCTACTGTTGTGGAACCAGGTTCAGTAAGAAGAACCAGGGCAGTATAAATCCTTACACATACATGCCCTTTGGAAGTGGACCCCGAAACTGCATTGGCATGAGGTTTGCTATCATGAACATGAAACTTGCTGTCGTCAGAGTTCTGCAGAACTTCTCCTTCAAACCTTGCAAAGAAACACAGGTCAGATACTTAACATGTTACCACTCTGCCAAAATAATGCTTTATTGGGAAATTTGTAAAAACTGATGTGTGTGTGTGTGTATGTGTGTGTGTGTATGTATATATACATACATACACACAAACTATATGCATGTGTATGTATGAATGTGCTCACTTATCCTATCTAATAAAAGAGTGATATGCAAATTGACCATCACTCCAACACACAAGATGGCCACCCCCATGTGGTCAAAGATGGCTGCCCCCATGTGGACCCAAGTTGGGCGCCACAGATTGCTGGCAGGGGAGGGCAGTTGTGGGCAATCAGGCCAGCAGGGGAGAGCAGTTAGGGGCGACCAGGCTGACAAGGGAGGGCAGTTAGGGGTGACCAGGCCAGCAGGGGAGGGCAGTTGGGGGCAACCAGGCCTGCAGGGGAGTACAGTTAGGGGCGACCCTGCCTACAAGGGAGGGCTGTTAGGGGTGATCGGGCCTGCAGGGGAGGACAGTTAGAGGTGACCAGGCTAGCAGGGGAGGGCAGTTAGGGGCGATCGGGCTGGCAGGGGAGCAGTTAGGTGTTGATCAGGCTGGCAGGGGAGTGGTTAGGGGGTAATCAGGCTGGTAGGCAGAAGCAGTTAGGGGCAATCAGGCAGGCAGGCAAGTGAGTGGTTAGGAGCCAGCAATCCTGGATTGTGAGAGGGATGTCCCAGATTGGAGAGGTTGCAGGCTGGGCTGAGGGACACACACACACACCCCTGTGCACGAATTTTGTGCACCGGGCCTCTAGTTGTTTAATAATTTATTCTCTAAGCTAGAGGTTCTATTTGGAATCATCTGTGACCTTTAAGATCCCGTTAGTCTGGAGTGCTAAGCCTGTGTTTTTATAAATATCCAACTATAAAGGCCATCTAGAGTCTATGTAGTTAGTGTGACATGATGATGTACAGTCCTTTGAGAAAAGTTTAAATTTAGTTTCAAGTCCACTGGAAGGAAGGGAAGTGCTGTGCACAGTCCTGAAGTATAGTGATAACTGAATCATGACTTTCAAACACTGTTCTTTTCCACTAGAACTAACAGAAGTTCTTGTGTTAGTTGTGGTTCTCAACCACTGGCTGTACAACAAAATAAGTGGAGAGTTATGAAAAATCTTGATGCCTAAGTCATCTCAGATACTAAAATAATTTATCTTTTGTGGCTTTAAAAGCTCCCCCTTTGATTCTCATGTGCCGTCAAGGTTGAAAATCACTGATGAAAGTATTTCTGCCTGATTTCCAGGGCCATCCTGGCTTCTGGGAGCCCTTCTGCGATCAAACTAGGCTCCTTTTACATCTAATAAGCACTCGATGATGTTTTTCTCATTCTCCTCTCATCCTTCAAGTCCGAGTTAATTCCCAAAACCCCTCCAGAAGTCTTCCCCATCTAGTCCAGAGCCCATTTTCTTCTGCCATGTTATTGTTACTGCAGGCTGGTATCTTCACTTGTACCACCTAACCTACTACTTTTTCATTAAATTATCCAGTTTGGTTCTTTATGTATATAAGAATGTCTTTAATTCTAGCACCTCATTTTATTCTTTTCATAAATTCCCAAAGGTGCCTTGTAGTCATGCAGGAAATGCTTAAAGAGTGATTTGCAGTTGATTTGGAGCTCTTGGATACAAATTTTAATCAATTTAATTTGAAAAAATTTAACAATGTGCATTATATATATATGCCTTGAAGTGAAATTACAAAATAGGAAGGTTTTACATTAATAGGTAGATATGGAATCTCTTCTCTGAAGAACATGCAGAATAGTTGCCATTGATTCATATCAAGCAAGGCTCTATAATAAGGCTTATTTCTAGGAATCGTGTGTTTATTATGCAGCTCCTTTCCTTAAGTCAGCTTTTTCAGGGAAGAGGAGGATAGAGATAGTTTTCAACTTATTTGTGGCTTTAGGCAGCTGTGTAAGGAGTCCTGTAAGTATATATACATGAGGGACTCAGCCCTGAGAGGAAATGGGTCTCTGACACACCTGGGGTGGGGCAGACACTCCCTGAAAACTTCCAGTCTTCTATTGCTGGTGCTTCTCACTCTCCATGACAGTTTTCTTGCCCTTCAGTGAACTGAGATCAGAAGGTTACTGTGTTGGAGGCTCCCCCAATACTGAAGAAGTGACTGGGTGAAAATTGAGCTAAAAAATTAGTCAAAGGAATGTATAGGTTTTCAGAAGTTCACTATTTACACTACACTTGGGATCTAGGAGGTGTTAGAAAACAGGCACAATGCTTCACAAAGACCTTCTTCCATCATGAAACTGGAAGGTTTCCACTGGTAGAGGTGGCTGGGCTTTAGAAGTTGAGGCTGGTCCATACAATTAAAACATGTAAAATGTACTCAGGATTAATTTGCAAGTTTCAACATGCACGAAATGAACTCTACCTGGCTTTTCCAAATATTTTCCCATAATGCCTAAGAATCTGGTTTAAATTTTTAAAACACATCCTTTTTATTTAAAATTTAAAACAGTCCTAACTGGTTTGGCTCAGTGGATAGAGCGTCGGCCTGGGGACTCAAGGGTCCCAGGTTCAATTCTGGTCAAGGGCATGTACCTTGGTTGCGGGCACATCCCCAGTGGGGGGTGTGCAGTAAATAAAACTAAGCAAACATAGTTTTGTCTTTGGCCTGGTATAGATTAGGTGCTATATAAAGGGTGTCCCAAAATTCACGCAAGATTTGAATTTTGCATGAGCATTAACAACAACAACAACAAAAAATAAAAGCCCAATTTTACTTGGTTTATTGAATCAGATTCTAATATCTGTTGTCCTTTGATTTCAATCCCTTCAATTTGATAAGTATTACCAAGTACTAGTTATGGCCTAGGAGCAGGGACAGTGAAGACCAGTGAAGACCACGGCTTTGCATATGTGCCAGAAAAGCCGTGAAGGCCATTTACCCAATGTGCTATTCCATACATAACCCTACACTGTATACTTTATGAATCAATAAAAATTTATAATTTTTAATTATAAACCCATGTTTTCTATCAAAATTACTTCTTGCATGAATTTTGGGACACCCTTTATATATTTTTTTCTTGAATGAATGTATTCACGAATGCTTTAACTGACCAGGATGAGACAGCTTACTAAATAAGTATAAAGAAGTAAAGATATATTATGCTAAAAGTAATTTTTATATGTTTGTAAAGCTTTATTGTGCTTAATGTATCTCATCTACTTGCTTCTGTTGTTAACAGTGTTTCATGAAATGGTTCTCATATGCTGTTTAACATTTGCAGATCCCTCTGAAAATAGAGTCTCAAGGACTTACTCGACCACAAAAACCCATTGTTCTAATGGCGGAGTTGAGAGATGGGACTATAAATGGAGCCTGACATTCCTTAAGGACTTACACATTGTTCTTCAAGGAAGTTGTATCCCTCGATCCCAGAGATCTCTATGTACTCTGTGAATAAAACCCCAAAATGAAGATGAACTTAACCTATTGCACTTGATGAATGACTAGCAATTCTGTACATTCATTTAGCTTTCTCAGTGTCTATACAGAGTATTATATATTGTGTAATATAAGGGATGTGACTAAAAGTGCCAAATATGTAGACCCAGTTTATTGGGTTCTTATAATACTGGCTCCATCCATTCCCACTTGGTACTGTCTGCTGTTCCTTAACACTAATCAAGAATACAAATTTCTCTATAATTTTATCAATAAACATTAATGAAAACAAGAATTATTTGGTAATGGCAGTAGAGACATTAATATCACACTTTATTTTGAATATTTTGTATTGTATGTTATATTGAGCAACTCAATAAACATATTTTCACAATAGATTACCTAATACTTTCATGCACAGGAGGAGGAATCTATAGAACCAAATTAGTGGGAGCCAGCTACTAAATGTTTTAACCATCACGAACCCTGTTTGGATGGGACCTTTTTTGAAACTCCAATTTGATATATTAAGATACGTGAGTGGAGAGGGATGGCACAAAGTTTGGCTACATAAAGGAAGATTGATCGAATAAGTAAATGTATTATGGATAATGAAAGCCAGGCTGCGTGGCCAGCATGGCTCAGTGGTTGAACATTGACCTATGAACCAGGAGGTTCACGGTTCCATTGTCAATCAGGGCACATGCCCAGGTTGTGGGCTTGATCCCTGGTGTGGGGCGTGCAGGAGGCAGCCGATGAATGATTCTCTCTCATCACTGATGTTTCTATCTCTCTCTCCTTCTCCCTTCCTCTCTGAAATCAATAAAATTAAAAAAAAGAAAAAGAAAATCAGGCTTCTCACTATCAGAGAAGGATTGTCATTGATTTTGAAAGAGAAAAAACCGGAATGAGCCCTGTAGACATAGAGATTGGAATGGAATGTATTGGGCAAATTCATGCTTTTTTTATATAGATAGCTAGGTAGATAGATGTTTGTGTATGTACATGACTGTATATACACACATATAAAGGGGTAGGGTCCCAGCACCTGTCCTGACGGGAGGGTAAAGATGACCACTGCCAGTCGTATGTGATGATGGAGATGGAAGGCTCTTTCTGAATTCATTAACCAGATCTGCCATTACAAGTGGGGTGACCCAGTTATTTAATCTTGAGGAACCTCAGAATCCTCATCTGTGAAGCAGGGATAATAATAGCACCTACCTCAGGGATGGGGAACGTCTGGCCCACAGGCACTAGAAGGCCTGCAAAATCATTTGGTCTGGGCCTTCCAAGGCATTAGGGGAGAGTTACTTAAATATTTGACCAAATATAGCAGGCTATTTTTTTATTTATTTATGGGCTCTCTATTCTGTTCCATTTATTTTGATTTTTTAAAATTCTTTATTGTTGAAAGTTTTACATATGTCTCCTTTTTCCTGCATTGACCTCTCCCTGCCCGCTCCTGTTCCCCAGCACATGCTCCTACCCCACTATTGTCTGTGTCCATTGGTCCTGTTCATATGCATGATTCAAGTCCTTTGGTTGATCTCTTACCCACCCCACCCTCCCCTGCCTTCCCTCTGAGGTTTGACAGTCTATTCAATGCTTCTATGTCTCTGGATCTATTTTTGTTCATCAGTTTACTTTGTTTATTATATTCCATAAATGAGTGATATGTGATATTTATCTTTCTCCATATGGCTTATTTCTCTTAAATGCTCTCCAGATCCATCCATGGTGCCACAAATGTTAAGATTTCTTTATTTTTTATAGCAGCATAGTATTCCATTCTGTAGATGTACCACAGTTTTTTAATCCATTCTTCTGCTGATGGACACTTAGGCTGTTTCCAAATCTTAGCAATTGTAAATTGTGCTGCTATGAACATAGGGGTGCATATATTCTGATTTCTTGGGATATATTCCTAGAATTGGAATTATTGGGTCAAATGGGAGTTCCAGTTTTTGGGGCTTTTTTTTGTTTTTATTTAAAATATATTTTATTGATTTTTTACAGAGAGGAAGGGAGAGAGATAGAGAGTCAGAAACATCGATCAGCCGCCTCCTGCACATCTCCCACTGGGGATGTGCCCGCAACCCAGGCACATGCCCTTGACCGGAATCGAACCTGGGACCTTTCAGTCTGCAGGCCAATGCTCTATCCACTGAGCCAAACCGGTTTCGGCGGGAGTTCCATTTTTATATTTTTGAGGAAACTCCATACTGTTTTCCACAGTGGCTGCACCAGTCTGCATTCCCACCAGCAGTGCACAAGTGTTCCTGTTTCTCCACATCCTTGCCAGCACTTGTCATTGGTTGATTTGTTGATGATAGTCATTATGACAATAGCAGGCTAATTTTTAAGTTGGCCCATGAATGATGTTATAAATATCCAAATGGCCCTTGGCAGGAAAAAGGTTCCCCACCCCTGACCTACTTCATGGGGTAATTGTGAGGATTATAGAAGTTAATACAGATGAGACTCAGAATGATTCCAAGCACATGATGAACAAACAACTGTGCTGGCAATGTTAAGAGTCATACTTTTAGAACAGCACTCTCTGAGCTGCAGAGGTCATGGAAGTAGCCTGATTTGCCACAGATAAACTGCAGAAGAGCCAATCTGCTGAATGACTCAGTCACTGGATTCCAGGAGATATTTTCTGAAGTTTCATTTCTTCCCCACCTTGGTCTATGTGATGCTGCACTATGAAGAGGTGGATTTTCTGTAAGCACACTTTACTATTTTTTTCCGGACTTATGACCTTTCTGACATCTGTCCTATTACCTGCATTGTCCCTTTCTTTGGCCCACCCTGCTGTCCCCATTCTATGGACACATTGGTGTATTGGTGGACTATCCCTTAAACATATTTTCTGTTTTCTCTATTTTTGTGGACTTATGGCAGTAACAGAACATTCTAGGTCTTAATGTCTTCTGGTTTTGTTGAATTGACTTTAGGTTAAGTGCCAAAAGCAGGCACTGGGCTTACAGCCAGCTGTGAGAGGTTTCAATGGTCCCTTGGCCCTGGCCACATTTGCTGAAAGCTTGACCTTCCCTTTTCAGTGACTTGCAAATGGTTTACATAATTGTGCATATGACTTTCCTGTTATGACATAAGAAACTGGTACTAATGATTAATTAATTGGACTATTTACAGAGTGGTATTACCTCTGCACTCTCCATCTTATGTGGTGGGCTGGCACGGCCATGGCATACTCAGCCCCACATTGGGCGCCTTATGTGCCGCGCCAGCTCAGCCAGGGTTGGTGAGCCCGAGTGGGGGCAGTGAAGGATTGAGAAAAGACAGACAAGAGAATGAAAGCTGGGTCTCGGCGGGATGCTGCCCTCACTGATAGAGACAGTGCCACGACTACAAGCTGTGTCTTTTATTTTATAGCCAGATTCCACGAGGCAAAGTAAGGGCGTGGTCAAGATGTTTACAACATTCTCATGGGTTTCGATCCTACTCAATTACATGCACCTGAACTCTATCAAGCCCACATCACTCAGACATGTGGGGCCATGTGTTTGGACCGTAGGTTCAAGCTTACAACTATAGCTGTTGGCTGTAATTGTGCTGGGAGGGCTCTGCCCTCCAAGCTGGGACTTGCACGTGGCCATGAGAGGACTGTGCCCTCTCATTAGTCCAAGGCTTGAACCTGTCCAAACACTGTAGCCGCTATCCACAATCTTATTAAATTTGAGGGTGGTTGTACAAAGCGGAGATGATTTATTCATTCAGATACTCATTCAAAACCTCCATGCCAGGTATAGAACTCTTAGGCCCCAGGAGTATAGAAGTGGATAAATCATGATTTCTACCCAAGATGATTTCATAATTGTAGAGACAGAAACATAATTATTGTACAATCATTGAGTCCCCAGATACCCTTTTTCTGGCCTACGGGGAAAGGAAACTAGATCTGTATTAGTCTGCTAGGGCTGCTGTAGCAAAGTACAATAGACTGGTGGCTTAAACAGCAGAAATTAATTTTCTCACAGTTATGGAGGCTGGAAGTCCAAGATCAAAGTGTCAGCAGGGTTGGTTCCTACTGAGGCCTCTCTCCTTGGCTGCCAGATGGCCATGTTCTCCCTGTGTCTTCATATGGTCTTCCTTCTGTACCTGTCTGTATCTGAATCTCCTTTTCTCATAAGGATACCAGTCATATTAAATTGGGACTCACCCATATGCTCTCATTTAAAGTTAATTATCACTTTAGAAGCCTGGTCTCCAACTACAGGAACGTTTTGAAGTGCTGGAGGTTAGGATTTCCACATATGAATTTTGGGGGTGGGGGACACAATGCAGCCTATAACAGGATCTGAGGGGAGCCTCTGGGCCTGCACATGGATGTCACAGGAGGGCTAAGAGGAATCCTCATACATAGAGCAGTGAATATGCTCTCTCATTAAGGTTGGGTGGAGGGTGGGGCTGGACCCATGATGCCAGTTAGAAGGCTCCAGGTTAGCAAGGGAAACTCTCAGGCCTCATAGAACCATGAATGCAACAGTAGACCCTTAAAGACCCTCTGCAGAGCCAGGACAAGGAAAATATATTGCCTGCAAGACTTTTGCGGTGGGGCAGGGTCTCAGGGAGTCATCAGGTGGAGCCAGTAGAGTTCATCTGGCTAAAGCAGATTAAGATTTACTGTGTGTAAAGAAGGCTCTGCACAAGAATGCTGGCTCCTGTTGGGTGCATGGGGTGATGGTCTGAGGCCCACTTTTCCATTCCCACAGTTCATATCCCCAAATATCCCAATTTCATTCTGAGAGGAGCAGGGAAAGAGGGAGTTAGCAAGGCCAAACTTAGAGAAGTTTATTACCCAAATGAAACCAAGAAGTTGTTTTATGGAAACAAAATTTCTTCCACCCCAGTTTTACCCCAGGTAGGGTCTCATGGGGATGATGATCTCATTTATGAAAAGTTAAAAAGCTACATATTCTTTGAGCATCTGTGTGCATTCAAAAGTGCTATGTCTCTTATTTCTACAGTTGGTACCATAACAACTGATGAACAAAGATGAAATAAGGGTAGAAGATTCAAGATGGCAGCTGAGGTGAAAAGTTACACTAACCTCTTCCCATGACCACATCAAAATTACAACCAACTTATAGAACAATAAACTGGATAACCATCTGGGGACTAGCTGAAAGATACAAAGAATCCATGCCTAGACCAGTTGGAAGGCAGAGATGCCAGAAATGGGCTGGCCTCACACCCACATGCAGTAGTTGAGAATATGGAGGGAAATCTCAGCTGCAGAGGTCCCTCATGAGGAGCCAGAGGCCC